TTATATTATATATTTTAGGATTTTTAGTGTCTATTTGTTGTTATAGCAGCCACAGAAATACATAATCTGTGAAAATTTCAACTTTCCAACTTTCATGGTTCATGAGATACAGCCTGGTGACAGACGGACGGACTGTCACGGACAGACCTTATTAATAGGGTCCCGTATTACCGTACTGAACCCTAAAAATGTATTTGAATTTGGAAATAATCTAGAATTTCAGAATTAAGTCTTCATTCTTCAATATTACTAAAATGTTATTATTAAAATTAATGAAATTGCTTATAAGTTATACCAAAAATTATTATTAATATTATTATATTATGGCATACTTGATTTTTGTAGAGGGTCACCTACCTAGGAAAAGTAGATTTGTTGGTCGTCATAACAAAAAGCTTGGGAAACACTGAAATATACCATAATGATATTTACTATTATACAAAGAAAATATGTATACCTACAGTTATTCGTTTTCGAATTACAACCAAATAAGAAAATAAAAACACGATGAACAATCGTTTATTTAAAGGTGAATATCCACTATCGTAAAAATTTGAACTTCAAACGCTCATAAAAAATAATTTTTTTTTTTTGCTTAAGGTAGAAAAAGTTATGAGGGATCTTATATTCAATTTTCAAATTTAAATAAAAATATAAAAATAAAAAATGTAATGCATTTCGAACAAATTTACATATTTTCATGATTTTGACTAATTTTATCAACATTTTAACTCTAGAATTTAGATACCTACTCATAAAATATTACTGTGAATTTACGCTCAGCTTTTTTTAAAATTAAAAAATAACAACTTATGAGAAAACAATTAGAAATTACATTTTTAAGTTTTCTTACTGAGTGAACATTTTTTTGTTAAAAAAACCTAATAAAAAACGTAAATTTCTCATGCATATAGGCTTTAAATAGCTAAAAAAGAGACAAGATTCAAAACATTTTTTCCTGTCCACCAGAACCTATTAGTAGGTAGGTTGTAGGTACCTACATAATATTATTTTATCAAAATCATTTAAAGACGACTGAGGCAATTCCTCTGGTAGCGAGTTCAATGGATCACTCTGTATACACTATAGCAGGCTATTAGGTACTGTATTTAACGTTAATGCGTTTAAAGTTATCAACAAATAAAAAAAAACACTAAGTCATGATATATTATATACATATATAATAATATAATATGTAAGTACGTGGTTATATAATTATGTGTTTTAAGTCTTTTAAGTTGGGACCGTCGAGGACCTACGCTCTGCAGGACGAACAATGTATAATTATTATAAGCGCCGAGCTGTAATAATCACTAATAAATCCCGCTTTTATATACGTAGATACCTATTAAGTGCCCAGTAATTACAATAAGCTAGCTACAGATCTATTATTTCTTATAATATATACGTGTACCGCTCCTATGTCATAATCACCTATATTTCCTATGCATTGGTTCGTGTATAATTTTAGGTAATTTTTGGCGATATGATTTTATGCGAATTACACATACAGATACACATACAGATTATTCGGTGAGTACCTATACTTGGAGGAATACAGGAGATTCAATACGATACCAGCGCATATATTATTCTCATAATATTATGTTATTGCCGACATGTCGTAATAATGCACGAACTATACTGAAAAATAATTAAACAACCATATAAATAATATAAAATAGTTGGATAGCGCCTTCAAAATAGCTAAGTCAGTTGCTTATCGATATATGTTCTATGATAATATAGGTAATATTTAATTGGTATTAATATCCATTCATTATACGTACTGTAGCTATACCTATAGCTAATTCGTCAACGGTTGATGTGTTGAGCAAATTTTCATTTTTTAACACGCCAATATAATTATATATTACAATAAGTGTTAACCTTATAATACATTAATATATTATATATTATTTAGATACCATTATTTTAATCGCTTAACATAAAATATAATGTCTGTATTTTTAATTGTTGTTAATTTATCTGCATTACGTGCGTTGTACATGAAATCTATAGGTATATGGGTATATCTTGTATACTGGCCACTGCAATATATGGGTATTTGAAATTTTGTGTGGTACGATTTTTGTTAAGGTCGCACAGAAATACAGGGATCCTCTAACAGTTCAAAAAAAAAAATTATCATTTAAATTGAATATGTGTAGTACCATTGATTTTATAATATACTATTATAGTATATTATAAAATCAATGGTAGTACTATCCAAACATATAGATAGGTAGTAAAAAATGTTAAAAATAAATCATTATAAACACATATTTTACAAATTTAAACTGTTGGTTAATATTTTTATAATAAAAAATACATGGGTGTACTTAACTTATACTCGTGCGGGGTAGGTATAGGCAGTGGCGTATCCAGGGGGGGGTTTGGGGGTTGTAACCCCCCCCCCCCCCCGAAAATTGTTAAATTATAACAACGTTATCATTAATAAATCATTTTAAGATAAAATTCCACAAAAATAAATTATAACCCCTCCCGAAAAAAAATTCTGGATACGCTACTGGGTATAGGTAATAATAGGTACCAGCTACTATTTAGAAGTTAAAATGAAAATATGTAGTTATTTACTTTAAAAAAAACTACATAGTAATGTAACACAAACACAAAATATCCATTATACCCATTAGTTATTACATAGATATGTATAATTTAGTAATTACTATTTTCATATTTGTGCATTATTTAATGAACGCTTTCCTATTATTATGTATTACTTCAAAACCATAATAATTATCCGTTTCAAAAACGTGAGTAAATAGTTTATGTTTTGCACAAATTCTTGAAGGTGTTTAAGAATACAATATATAATGTATAAAATATAATATAGTATGTATGATATATACATAATATATAAGTATATAACACTGCAGTTGTCTTTACATTTTTTATTCAATAATTAACGAACGGATTGGCAAATACGTACATATACCCGTGATACATACCTATATATCGTATTTACACACGGGTCGGTTTAGTTGGTATAATATAATAATAATATAATATACACAATAGGTACATATTAATGAGAAATATAAAAAATATAATATGTATAATATGCATTAAAGCTTCAGCACCACGAAGGCCTTTATATTATTATATATATCATATACAGTGTGTCCCGTTTTTAATGTACCACTAAATATCTCAGCCCGATAATCTTAGATTGAAATACGGTTTGCTGCAATAGCTTAGGGGTACTGAAGTACACATTTAAGGACAAATTTCAAATTTTTAACTCTTGTAGTATGCGCATGCGCAATACAAATTTTTTTTTTTAAATTGCAACACCTATTTTTGTCAGCGGATATGGATAGATTATTTTATTCTAAGTAATTTTGATCCATTGACCATAGTTCTAAACCAAAAATTGAATGAGTTACACCTTTTGGAAATTTAAAAAAAATTAAATTTGTTCGATTTTACCAAAAACATTTATTGTTTTAAATTTGAATTGAGTGATTTTTTCATAGATTTTAATAAAGAATGTGAAGTAGGAAATTAAATAAAAAATACTCCGTTACATTGTTTTGACTTATGTTAAATTTTTTTTATCTAATAAAATGTTCAAAATTTCCTCCGTTTTTTTCTAAACACATTTCCAATCGACGACTCACTTCTCTAAAGGTTGCTGCCAAAATTTGTTCTTTTGTTAATTGTCTGCACGCTACCGTTATTTTATTTTTTAAATCCTGTAAGTTTGCTGGTGGATCTGCATAAACAACAGTCTTTAAATGACCCCATAAAAAAAAATCTAATGGTGTTAGATCAGCTGACCGTGGGGGCCTTCCACTGGCCCGTGAGTTCCCATCCATCGATTTCCAAACATTTCATTTAACTGTTGTCTTACAATAATGGCATTATGAGCGGGTGCTCCATCCTGTTGAAAAAATAAGTTTTGACGAAGTAAAATTAAATTTGGCTATACATTTTTTTTTTGGTAATTTTGTATTAAATTATTTAAATGTATTTCATTTTAGTTCAAAAATTACTTACTTTTGTATCAAATTCAAGCTTGTAATGTTTTTGGTAAAATCGAACAAATTTAATTTTTTTTTTAAATTTCCAAAAGGTGTAACTCATTCAATTTTTGGTTTAGAACTATGGTCAATGGATCAAAATTACTTAGAATAAAATAATCTATCCATATCCGCTGACAAAAATAGGTGTTGCAATTTAAAAAAAAAAATTTGTATTGCGCATGCGCATACTACAAGAGTTAAAAATTTGAAATTTGTCCTTAAATGTGTACTTCAGTACCCCTAAGCTATTGCAGCAAACCGTATTTCAATCTAAGATTATCGGGCTGAGATATTTAGTGGTACATTTAAAACGGGACACACTGTATATGCCAGTAAGTCAAAACAACTCGGTAACGTAAATTGTGTATAGTAGTAGGTACCTATAGGTTAGGTTACCAACCTATATGTATACACGAATCACACATCATTCACGTACTATGTGTGCAGTAGTATATGGCATTATAATGATAGTGTCTTATCGATTTAACTGCAATAATTCGTTTTGAGAACTACCTCTTTCACGTAGCTTCTTCCCACAGTTAAAACAATTAATAATATTAATAGGTACCCATAACTGGCATGCAACTGGTACATAATATCTATATACACACGGTGACGGTGATGGGTATGATATTATACGTGATGTATATTATGTGTCTAAAACATCTCAGCTAGGTCTCGGTGGTATATTGCTCAATAACGATAGTGTGCTGCAGGGTTATGTCTTATTATTATTGTGCCGCTGCAGACCGCGCGATTTACGGAGTAGGTAAAACGGGAGAAATTGCCGTGGTCGTAAAATGTTTATAAACGACCATTTCGGCCATCCAAACATCAGTATCGATCCGACGAGCTCATCCGACAGACACCGTCTTATTATATATTATATACCAATATAATATCAACCGTCGTCGTAGACAACAAAGTTTCTTAGTTCCAACTGCAAAAATCATGTCTGGCTCTAAAGTGGTGAGTTGAATCGTTGTTTCAACGACTATAATATTATATACATACGCTTTCGTCAGTCGTCTCACCTGTTGCACAAAAGACGAAATATAATAACAATATATGAGTATAAGTATAAGTATAAGTCCAATAATTATTGTATACTGACCACTCTAAAACGCACTTTTCAAAATATGTTTACGTTTTTCTTGTCCCCGTCCTGCTGCAGGTAATGCGTCTCGCTGGAATAACTGCCCTGTTGATGGTCGCGGGCTGCTCTTCGCAGACGGTGCAGCCTGCACCGGTGCAGATCGTTTCGTCATCGCCTCCGTCGCCTTATTTCAACGGCTTCAGACCGAACGGAGCGTACCCGCAACAGTACATCGGTGGACCTCAGCAACAGTTCAACGGCGTTCTGCCGCCACAGTTCATTGGCGGACCCAACTTCGCTCAGCGTTTCTACAACAACGGGCAAAACCCCGCGTACAACGGACAGTTCGTGCCGATCTTACAGCAGTCGTTCGACCTTTCCCCGGATGGCAGTTACACTTTCGGGTGGGTTTAGCTTGTATTTTTGACCTAATCTAACATACCTAGAGGTATTATAATGTACCTACCATAGTTTAACCATATACCTACTGTATTACATTAAATTATAATAATATAATATGATTGTCGGGTGCACGGCTTACAGTTACCAGTCCGCCGACGGAACTCAGAGACAGGAATCGGGAGGTCTGAGATATCCAGCCGTACAAGGATACCCACCAGTGATGGCCGTCCAAGGATCGTACTCCGCCATAACTCCAGAAGGTACCAAACTTCACGTACTATATAATACTATATAATAACATGCACAGCAACTAACACCTCGTAGACTCGCGTGTATAAGTTCGATTTTTATTCGATTTTACTATCCTCGCGGTCGACGCGTATGCAGTCCACCGGAATTTGTACAACCTGTGTGTAATGAAATGTACAACTACAGTCGATCTATACGAGTACGATGAGACTCGGAAGCAGTCGATCGACGACGATATAACGATATTAGTGTAAACCAACAGCGATTGATTCGGCGGTATAGCTTCGAAGAAATACAATTCGAATGTTACTCTTACTTCTCGTTTCGGCTATACCTATCGCCGCGTAGGCAATAATATAATATAATACGATGGTCGCATACTATACCGAACAATATTGTATACAAAGCACCTACAAGATACGCGCCTCCTACTCACATAAACGCGAGTGGTTCAACAATAGAGATGGAGCGCATAACACTTAAACATATAATATAATATTATATTGCATTCATATCTATTATATGTATCAAGATTTGGGTTTGTATAATTACATTATATTATTATATTATCGGTAAAGTTATTACCAGCCATCGTCGTCAAACATTAGGTGCAATTATTATACTGAGGTACAATAAGTATATAATATACGCAGGTATTATAGACGTGAAATATATTATATAATTGCAAAATTATACCTATATTTAAGCTTCGACAAATCAATCGTCATATTTTATAGAGTTACTGCTGAAATGTGACTGTACAATACATACCTCCATTTGACTTTATATAATAAATACACACTTAATTATGTTTTTATATATTTTAATTGTATATAGCATAATGATTAATTTAAAATTATTTCAGGAATTCCGATTGAAGTTTCGTACGTAGCTGATGAAAATGGATATCAGCCAACCGGACCTGGAATCCACCCGGCCATTCAACGAGCAGTAGCCCAACAAGTGGCCCAAGCCAAACTAGAACCACCCCAATTCAACAAATAATAATGCCTATAATGACTTACGTGTAATAATATGATTCCAATCCCGAAATTTGTAAAAAATGAATTATAATCCAATAAAGCGATATGTACATTGAAAAAATAATAATTTGTATTCTATTTCTAATTCCTAAAATCAGTTTACAATTAATTAGTATAGGTATTACAATAGACTGTGGCACTGTGCAGTAATTATGTTCGAAATATTTTATAAACAAATAATCAAAGAGCTACAAAAGAATGGAAAAAAATATTTCAAATTATACTTGTTATTATTATATTTTAATTAACGTGTCTAGTGTTGGAGTGTGGCGCTTAATATATAAAATCAGATATATCTAAATCAGTCAATTTTATTTTATTTGTTTAATTCTTCTGACTCTCGCAACGCACTGTTTTAGCCTTAAAATGCACTATATATATATTATATATAGGCATCTACATAAATAAATTTGAAAAAGTTATGATACTTATCGGACTGCAATTACTTATGATAAATATACATATAAATCCCTTTTTTATAATCTTGTTTTTACAAGTGTATTGGTGAAAATGTAAAAACATTATAAGCACTAAATGTGTGACTAGTGAGTATAGGTTTCATAATCCATGTTAATAGGCATTTAAAGACTTTAATGCCATGTAAATTACCAACTCACCTCGTTTTATATTACGTACAACACTATATATATTAAGCTAGGGTCTTCAAGTATAACGTTAAGTATATTATAGTTATTAGGTGCTCATTTATAAAGCTTATTTTATTACGAGTAATTCCTAGATAAAAAAAACCTGCCATGATGAATCTGTTTTGTCAATGCAGAGGTCAAGTTGTTATCAATTCAACAAAAGTATATTATAAGTTTCATTTGAGGTATCTACATCATAACTATTAACTAATTTTAGGATCCATTTACAAGAGTTTTTTTTTACAGATTGGAATAGCGTCGGTGATTTTTGTCTTAGTCTAACACTCGAATACCTACTTAATATAGGAGTTTAGACGTGTTATACTTCCAACGTAAAGAGGCCTAAACTGATTGACCCAGTAAAGGGATAAGAATTCTGAAAACCTATTTGAACTTGTCATCAAGTATATATACTTGAAATCGAATTTTCCACATTTTTAATTTTTTTAATTTTAACTTTTACAAAAATTGTAATATAACAATATTTTTATATAATAGTATAATAATACTATTAAAATCTAAACATTTTCAATGCCATCTATCGATGTCTTTTGAATAGAAAAAAAAGGTTTAATTACTAGTTAACATTTCAATTTTTAAAGGTTATTAGGTAATTATAATTATTGACATAACCCTAACCTAAACTAACAAATTACAAATGGATGTGCTATACCTAAAATACTAAAATTTTCCCAAAATAACAAAAATTATGCAGGAAATCACCGAGAAATAACAAATTTTTTTTCGTAATATTTTACTTGTACAGGTATAATAACCTACATATATAGGTATCCGCAAATCGCCAAATCTTGCCACCCTTTGCAGAGGTATATTTGAGTATTCGTATCATGTAATAAATTATTGAATTCGGTATTAATACAAATTGAAATTATATAACATTTAAGCATAATATAAAATATGAAGGACAAAGCTGTATAGAACACAAAACAAAAAAATTAAAACCGGGGAACTCGGTGTGCTGTATATTATGATTGGAATGTACATCTTGTCCTCGTCATTGAGTAGCTCACTGAAATTGGTGAGGTACATATTTTGAAATTTGAACCCAAAGACAAATCAGTGTATTTAGATACTACTTATATGTACGAAAAACTAATTCCGAGTGGATGAGACGGGTGTTAAAATTATTATTCGAGTATGAATTACATTAAAAAAAAGTATTTAATTTAAAAATATACTGTTAAAGAAACATTAAATTATTATTACGTTTAGGCATTTAATGTTTTTAATTATATTAGCTTAGGTATAATAAATTAATTCCATAATGACGGAAAAGGTAAAACAAACCATTAAATAAAAAATGATATATTAAAATATAATACGAGGTAGGTACACGTTTTAAAAATACTACTGCAATATTACGAGTAGATACAATGGTATGTACAATATCTAATTGTCACCGGTAAACTAATGGTTACAAATATTACAATCAATACTAGTATACTATTATACATTTATACACATCTACATTGATGATATTAGATAATAATTATAATAATTATTAACAACAATAGGTACCATTATAAAGCATATTAAAATCGTTGATATGATTGTCAGATTGAACAGACTATTATTATTTTTAGTACCTATAGGTACGATATAGTTTCAAATATAATATGACATACGTAACACCACCGATAACCAAAGATATTGTTCATTGTTTGTAAACTATAAATACTTATTATACCAGATGTTATAATTGTAGGTATTCATTTTAGGAAAAATTACATAGGTACAATTTATTATTATTTAAATTGTTTAATGTATTATTACACCACGCTAGTGCAATCATTAATGAAACGAATAATTGTTGGTACTAACGTTCGTTAGAACATTTTGTATAAATAATGTAATTAAAGTTTCATTGGTAGATACCTATTATTAATAATTTATAAAAAAAATAATGTTATTCTCATTATAATTCTTTTAAACAAGTTATTTTAGATTCTGAGTGGAATGACGAATGTATTGATTTTACAATGATGTGTGTTTTTTTTTTTTTTTTGTGTCTACCATTAACATTTAGGACAGTGCTTAGATTTTCTTTAACAGTATCTTTTCTGAAAAGGAAAGTGATTCTAGTTGGTACTTTGGGGGGTCAAAAGTAAAATTTGTCCAGTAGTTTTCAAAAGCACAGAAAAAAATAAAATAAAAATTAAGGAAAAACGGGAATTTATACGCAAAATCTGTTTTCGAAAAAATCGATTTTGGTTTTTGGTTTAGCTCTAAAACAAATGAATGTCTATTGTCTATACATGAAATTTTCACTAGTAGTTTATATTTGCATTTTCTATACACGATACAATTTTGAAAATAAATTGACTCTTTTTGAGCTGTTTATACGGACATTGCCAATTTCCAACTTTTTTAGTTTTTTTTTCTATATATATCAATACAATTTTATGGACATTGTGAAAATGTAATGCAAGGCTCCTGATCCTGATATGTTGTTACAATAGCAGTTGAAAAATTTTAAAAATACATAGTCACAATTTTTTTTTTATAAGCATTTAAAGTTCAAATATTGACAACATTTAAAATTTAATAATAATTTCGTAGTTAAAAATTTAGAAAATGTTCAACTTTTATATCTAAGGATTGAAAATTTAAAACAAGATTCTACGTAAATAGGTTGTATACAAATTACTTTATTCACCTTAATTATATCATCAAATATACTTACTAATATCATAGGCTGACTCTATAGGCCGTTTTAGCTCAGAATCGTTTTTCTCATACTGCAATGGTATTACCTATATCATTGAATTCAAATTTAACACCATCCATTACAGTGACCCACTTGTAACCTACTGTACAGCAGAGCGACATCCACTTACCCACCTTTTTTATTTCGTATTGGTTTTTTAATCCTGGAATTTTTATCCGTTGGATATTTTTTCTAATAATTTGACGAAGAAATAAAATTTCTTTCAAAATTGTATTTGAACATAATTGGGATATGTTATAGGTCTCAAAAAGAACTCAAAAAGAACCAAAATTGAAAATTAACCTAGAAAATGGTAATGGTAATATAAATATTTGAAAAATACAAGTCCCTACAATAGTTTCCTATTAATTATAAAAAAAAAATGTAATCTACTTTGTAAAAAAATTTCAGGTTTCAGGTAAACAGTTTCATTTTAGTTTTTCTCTGCATAGTTAAGAAATGTACTGCCAGTATACTGGGATTCAGAGCCGGCGCCATTAAAATCTATGGGGGGGGGGATGTCATAATAATTTTATATCATATTAGCAGACTTCAAAAAAAAAATGTCTGAAGGTTTGATGTTGGTACTTCAGTATAAATATTTGAAAACATAAATTATAAAAGTGGGTCACATTAGTCATTTTTACCCTATATTGGCCTGTGCTGACTGTTGAACTACACTTAATATAATATGACAAACTACATAAGTGAACGGCATCGCATGATCCCACGCACCACACTTCCCAATGAGATCCCCTTTGAGATCTAGGTAATTATTCTAATTTTGACCCACCCGCAAAGTACCAGCTACTATCTATATAACATATTCTACCAAAAATATAACAATAATATATTAATATTGGTATATTATTACAAGCTTCGCATATAAGCTCAGAATCTAAAAATACGCAATACGCATGGACTATGTTATTTCCTGGTTAAGCATCTGGTGTATCTTGGAGGTATACTTATACTATACTTAATGCCTATATCTATTCATAAAAAATAGACAAGACAAGGAGAAAATGATTTGCAAGAAAACATATCAATGACAATGATTTTATACAGATATGATATGTGATATGTGATGGAAATTGAATGCAAATTATGTACCTAATTAATTATAGAGTATAGACTATAATATTATAGAGCTTAAAATGTTTTGTTTGTTATTTCATAAATAGGTAGGTACGAAAGTATCCACCTACCTAAAGCTATCAGTGAACCCACTGATTTTGAAGTGTAGTATAGTGCGAGCAATATAGGTAGGTAATATAGGTAACCTAGGTCCTAGGTATGGTTACTTAAGAAAAAATTAGGAAAGCAGGAGAATTAAGAGGACACTACCTATGAACATTTTTCAATGTTTCATAATTGATCACTTATTGTTATGAAGATTAATATTGCAACGTATACCTACGAAACCTCAAAATGTGATTTCATTGAAAATATTTTGTTTGGAAATTTAAAAACATTATACTTCAGACATTTTTAATTGAAAAAAAAATATTTAGGAATAGGTATAGTTGACTTGTGATTACTGGTTAGAATAGGTACTGAGTGAAATTGAAAACAATATAATTTTACAACCAGAGTATTTATCGTTATTAGTTTAGAATCAGTATATTATAATAGTTCTCTCGAACCGATCAGAGTTTATAAACCACTACCTAGCAGTGGATTATAGAGATGCATAAGTAGTGTGTTTAACGTATAAAATATGTACCTGTATGGCTGTATGGCACTTATATTGATAAATTATAGCTAGCGATTATTTAAAATTTAAATAATTTTTTTATTGGTCATATAATATCGCTATAATATGACTAATATGTTATCATCTTAGTGTGGTTGAATACTTAAAAGTATGCATATGCATAAACGATAAACATGGCCTACCTAGGTACCATTAGACTACGTGCACCCTTTATGAATTATTATGTACCTATTTAAAATTGTATAACATAATGTAACCACCACCATCCCGCTATAGCAGCGTAGTTTTCATTATATGTTTGTATCTTAATTTTTAACTGTTAAATAAATTACCCGAGCGACTAAACAAAATACCATAATAATGTATAATAAAATATATATTAAAAGCGTATTATAATATGTTATTTGAAACTATATACAATTATATCGCTGTGGCAGATGTGCCTATTTCATAAATATATTTTAAACACAAATTAAGCGGTATGGGTACGTATTCTTATATATTTTTCATTGACCCTGGGTCAAGTACGGAAACATACTTTTACTTACGACGAGGATTCACCTGTTATTACCGCATGTAAATAATAATACATACAATATATTATATAAAAAAAAACCCGTACCTACTCTGATTTTTTTGCGTTATTATATTATGATGCACATCATACCTATTCTGACAGCGTATAATTATCTGTCATTTGGTGGCAAGAATATAGTAATGGAAAAACTGACAGTTATAAAATATCGTATTATATTCGTATACGTTTGCACGTAGTATTGCATTAAATTATATGTTTTTAACGCTAAAATCGATTACATTGTAACCCGAGGGCCATTATATAGTTTCGACACTTGGTAATTTTATGTAAATGTATTTGGACTAAAGAACTTAGAACAAATCCATATTTTCGTTAGTTTATAAATCACGATTTTCTATGTTAGCCATTAAGTCTCTATTTTTATGTTAACACGAACGGTACTTTTCACGAGCGAGTTGCACGTAGGTACCTAGTACCTACCCGAGTTAAAGTGAGTACGATTGGAACGAAAGTTGATAGGTAATAGGTATAGTTTAAAAAATCATAACAGACAGGCTCGTCACACAAATAATAACATAGGTGTAGACTGCAGGTACATACTTCGTTTATGATAATGGGAGTAGGTTACTAGAATGGTTTTATTAAAAGTTGAGGAGTGTTATATTATAACTAATAACTATATAGGTACTATCGTCACGACCCCTCACTCATTTAACCTAATATTTCAGTCGGCACATTTACATTGTCAAATACAAAAATAGTATGTATAAAAAAAATTAATAAAATAAACCACAATAGGCATGTTCTATTTTAAGCTTAATGGCCAACCTGATGATAAATATCAAGTGTCCGTAAATAGCTCAAAAAGAGCCACAATATTTTGAAAAATTTATCTTGAATGTTGAAAATGGTCATATAAACATTTGATGAACATTTAAAGTATATAGAGTTATTTGTTTTAAATTTACTACAACTGTTAAAAAAAATCGATTTGTCTAACACTAGTTTTGCGTGAAAATTCCCTTTTTTCCTTAATTTTTATTTTATTTTTCCCAACGCTTACTGGCCACTGTGAATTTTCCATTTTGACTCATTGAAAATAATTTCAACTTTATCCAATTTTCTACCAGAAACCACCCCCAAAGTTGAAAATCAAAATGTTTTTTGCCTACTTTTATTGTACACACGCACACACATCAAAATTATTGTAAAATCAATACATTAATCGCTCTGCTCAGAATCTAAAATACATACACAGATACCATTTACATAATAATATGTAGGTATATAATATACAGTATATTATACTAAAAATAACGGTTAAGTGGATGTCGCTCTGCTGTACAGTAGGTTACAAGTGGGTCACTGTAATGGATGGTATTAAATTTGAATTCAATGATATAATATTATCATTGTATACGAAAAATGATTTTGAATGGAGACAGTAATAGTTGGTCAGGGTCAAAATAGTTTATATTATATTTATATTGTTATTACTTATTATTAATACCGTAGTCGGTAAGTTGAATTAAAATTATAAAACGACAAAAAAAATAACAAAAATCATAATTCTTGGTTATTTAATATTATGTAATTTCGTCCAAATTTTAACTTTAAAAAACTGTGTTTATGTGTATTTTTATATTTTTTGGTTACAGAATAACTAATACAGTAATACTACTAGCTATGTAAGTATGTAAGTATAATCTATAATATGTAAGTAGTTATACTGTAACCAAAAAATCTTGTTTTAAATTTTCAATCCAAAATACCAACTAGATTCACTTTCCTATCAGAAAAGAAGCTGTCAAAGTACAACCATTTTTACTGTCCTAAAAGATGATAATAGATACAAATAAAAAACATCATTGTAAAATCAATACATTCATAGGAGCGCTCAGATTCTAAAAATGTTTATGACCGATAGGTTTAACAGGCAATTATAGGAAACACACTGATCAACTTTACATTTTTTTTTTGAACCATATGAAAATACATATAAGTAAAAAAAAAAATGCAAAATATGAATGTTTAAAAAATAAAATACAAAGAACAACATAGGCAAAGCTAAAATGGTCAATTAAAAATCATTTAATTTAAATTTTTAATAAAGTATGATAAAATATTTAAATTGATTGGTACAATATAGTTTTGATTTAAAACAAACAATTTTAATATAATACAATTTATACTAAAAAAATAATAATTTATTGCAATATTTATATTTATATTTATTTATTACAGGCCGAAGCCTAACAATTTTATAAGAATTCATTTGAACATATATTTTGCAAAACAGGGTTACAAGAGGTTAGAAGTGTGTCCGTTTGCAAGACACATCACAATTCTAATCTTATGTAACCCTGCCATATAAATATATGAACAAACTAATTCTTGTTACTTGTTAGATATTAAATTATTCTTAAATAGTAGGAAAAAATAACATACCATGTAAATAATTTTAACAATAAGGAAAATTACAAAATCTAATTGTTTAAAACGATAAAGGTAAAAATATAATAGGAAGAAAACGAGGAAAGAGTTCAAGGCATTGACGTCACTTTAGTACTATAATTTTGTTTAAGATCATCTCTTACTTTTGATAAATATTTTAATGCTTCATATTTGTTTCCATGTTCAATACAGACATCTACAAATGGCTGAAAATAAGTGTCAAAGAAAAATGTTTGAACTATGCAAAAAAACAGTATCAAATTAAATTAAGTTTTTTTACCTCATATCCAATTGGGGATTTTTTTACTTTTGATAACTTCTCAAGTTCATTCCAATCTTCTTGCTTAGCTAGTACAGTTAATCTAGCCCACCAATACCTAAAAGTAATATAATATATTAATATAAATCAACCACTATCAAAAACGTATTATATTATATAAAATGACAATATTTTATAACAACAGTATACAATATTATATGGTTGCTATTTGATAAGTGATAAGATTATTAGTCATTACTTTATGTTTATTAAGCATTAGAGTTGATAATTTAGTAATATTCTAAATAGTACTTGGGCAATTACTTGAGAATTTTTTTATTAGACCAATACTGACAAATGAGTAATCGGTATTGAATTAAATTAAATTAAAACCTACTTATTTTTGTCACTTTTAACTAAAGAAATAAAAATAATATTGTATTCACCTTCTTTCAGGGACTTTGAATTCTGAACGTAATTTATCAGCAAGTTTTTAGTTCATTTATTCTATTAACTTTAGAAGAGTGTCATTCAATGTCAAATTACGAAAATCATTTTTCAATTTTTCTTCTAAACTGCTTTGATATCGTATTAACTTTATTTGGCTTTCACAAGTAGTCAATGAAAATTCATCTCGTGTTCTTTTATAACAATTAATGGCTTCATTGATTGATACAGACATTTCTTTAGTGTTCTAGAAAGAACATGCATGTTTTATAATATAGTAAGAAATGAAAATAAATTACACTTCTTGAATACATGTTAAATCTTGTAATATTACTTTTGATTTAATCGACTCAGTGATATGATAAAGTGCTAACTCTTCATGATTATCTTCTTGTGTGTACATATCCAACAGTGAATACCCTGATTGCTGATGACAATATTTTATGTAAAGAGCTTGAGCAACAGAACTTTTTTTTATTTCCATCTAACAAAAATCAAATATTATAGATTAAAATTTAGTAATTATGACCAGTGTTTGTCTAATAATTTACAAATATTGTTCCAATAGTTTAATTAATTATTTAGACTTTATGTTTAAACTGACTTGAAATTTTCCAAGTGGCATAGAAGTTTGCATATGAAGTAATACCATATAAACAAGATCAGTATTTCCACTTTCAACAGCTTTTTTCAGAGCAATGGTATCTTGTTGGTATTTTAATAACAGTGGTATTTGCAAATTGACTTGTGTTTCATAATCTAAAAGCTATTAAAAAATTCATATTTTTTTTAAAAACTAATCACTTTATAGTATGGTTCTTAAGTTCTTAACGTCAATAAAGTACGGTAAGAAAATATTAAAATTATATTATATATTGTTATTATAGGAACAAATATTGATTATACTTAAGTATCAATAAATATTTATGATTAACAGCAGTGTCTCTAAACCAGCATTTCTGAACCTATAGTACACGTGGTACCTATACGGCAAGTTTATTGGTGGTATGCTAAAAAATTTAAATTTATAAAAAAAAAAATGGAATTGATTATTAAATTCATAATAAATATTTTTATTTTATTTTATTTGATGATTATACGCCCCGAAGAGCATTAAGTTAACAAAAGTATAGTAAACTAGATAATTACATAAGTAAAAAAGTTACTACAATTATATATATAGATAACAGGTAAAGTAATGGTAGGACTAAGGTTGGTTTAATAGGTGTAACATTCTGTGGAGAGGCTGGTTGTGACCATACGAGGTGAGATGGGTAGGGATAGAGAAAAGAGAATGGTGTCTAGTAGAGTAGGAGGGAACGCAAAATGAAACAGTGGCTAGTAAGTCGGGGGAGTCGATGGTACCATTGAGTAGAGATGTGATAAACATGAGATCTGCGTGTTCACGGCGAGATGCAAGAGTTGGGATATTGAGAGTGGAGCGGATAACGTTATAATCATGAGGTGTGTGTTCAATATTTAATAAAAAGGCAATAAAAGATAGGAAACGATTTTGCACTCGTTCAAGACGCAATTGATCACAGGCCAGATATGGAAACCAAACGACCGATCCATACTCGAGGATGGAACGGACAAGGCTGAAGTAGAGGGTACGGAGACAGGTGGCGGAGGTAAAGAGGGTTGTGTTTCGTTTGATGAATCCGAGGATCTTCAGGCTCTTCCCAACAGTGACATTTAAGTGGTGTTTGAAGGAGAGGGTGGGCGATAGATAGAAGCCTAAGTCTTTGATAAGATGGACGCGTAAGAGGGAGGAGCTACCAAGGTGGTATGAGTGTAGTATGGGGCTACGTTTCCTACAGAAAGTCATAGCGTGACATTTGTCCAAGTTGAGGGGCAGATTAAGGTGACACGTCCAATCGAAGAAATCATCCAGTTCGGCTTGTAATAAAAGGCAGTCAGCGGGTGAGTCAATTTTACAAAAAATTTTTATGTCATCCGCAAATAGGAGAACCTTGGCAAAAGAGAAACACTTGTTTATTGAATTTACAAATATGATAAAAAGAAGAGGACTCAGATGACCTCCCTGTGGACAACCCGAGGAAATTACAGATGACTCTGAAACGGCTCCGTTTAGCTTAACAAATTGTCTACGAGATGTTAAGTAGGATGCGAACCAGGAGATGAGTGGCTGGCCGATACCGAGCGAGTCGAGTGTGGCAATGAGAAGTCCATGGTCTACTGAGTCAAACATTGTTTAATTTATTTGATATTAATAATAATAATCTAAATAATAATTGTACATATTACATTTTCATTTTATGCATTTAAATGCTTAATATATTATCATAATTTTGTAGTTCCTAAAAAAATAAAATTCCATATATGTAAAATAACACATACATTTTTGATAAGCAAAAAAAAAAACGTTGTGTGGTTATAGCGGATTGAATCGTAGGTGGTACGCGGATATAAAAAGGCTGAGAACCGCTGCTCTAAACCATCAATATATGAGAAGAACTGAGGAGATTATAAAAAAGGTAATTGGCAGAATAAAGTAGAATTTGATTCATTTGAAATGTTAGATAATCCGTGAAATATTTATTTTAATGTTATTAAAAATATACAGGTAACTTATATATAAACTATATATAAAATCCTGGTTTTGATAATACATATATGTGCATAATATGACATCATAGGTGGGGCCTTCAGTGCAATGGACTTAGACGGTAGAGGGTACAGAAAGCAATGGTGAAAACTGAAAAGTCAAGGAGTACATTGAACGAAAAAAGGTTGAGAAATGCTGTTATTATATCCTTATATTTGAGTACGCTAGGTATAATAATTATTTATAACTGGGAGTTGGGATCATGGACACAAAGACAGTTTTTGAATAATAAACCGAGTTTTGCTCCGATATAGCTTACTGATATGTTATACATACTTTTATAGCAAGTTGTATTCTGCCACTATTTGCAGCAATTTCTGCAATACTATGATATGAAACTCCAGAATATTTTCCAAGTTTATCAGCAATTGTAGTTGCTAATTGTTCTCTATCTACTTGTGTTTGTTTCACCTGAAATAACACTATATAATACTAATTCAATAAGTTACTAAACATTTTTTTTTTAAATATTAACTCAGGGCATGAAACTGCTTATGAAAAATTTGTTTATCGGGTCCGACCCAAAGAATTTTTTGTAAGTGGTTACCGGTTTTAAGGGTTTTTAGAATTAGTGGTAATTGATTACCGGTTACCAAAAATGATCCCTAAAAATGTGATTACCGGTTATCGGTTTGGAAGCGGTTTTAATTCTTCAAGATTACTGGTAACAACTTCGGAAATGGTTTTTTTGCATTTATGTTTTATTCTGAAAATTTTAGTTTTACTTTAATTTACACAATAAAAATATCCACTTTATAAAACGATTCAGGGACAAGCTAAATTTAAAAATAAACACCTATATGGCTATATTTTATCATTTGAAACTATGGATAAACATAAATTAAATTAAATTAGTAAATTACCCAAAACCATCGATTTAAAAAAAAATACATGGAAAAGTGTTATAGAACAGAGTCAATATCAATAAAATAAAATAAATAATAATCATCTAATATGTTCTATAGTATGTCTATGAACCAATGAATCGTACTAAGTATCTACGATTGGTGCTTATTACTTATTATTACAGCTACAGACAGTATACCATCTTTAATCGTACTTGTTATTACATAACATTTATTATCTTGTAAATAAAATTATGAATCAAAAAAAAAAGAAATATAAAAATGAAATATAACGTTATTTTTTTTTTTTTTTTGATATTTTTGGTTTTGTTGACTTGACGGGTTTTTTAAAAAAAAAGTTACCGTTACCCGTTACACTTTAATTGAACTTGGTGGTTTTTGTCAACCGCTTCTCAAAATTTAAACTTACAAACCAGAAGCGGTTACCAGACCTAAAATTGGTCATGGTAACCGATTTCCGTTAAAAACCGGTAACCAGTTTCAATTCCTGTATTAACCTTAAACTTGGCCCAATGAGTTAAAATACGACTGGATCCTAGATTGCTTGACATACGAATATAAGAGGAAGCTTGTAAAGCTAAATAGTAATGCCGTTGACCAACAAGTTTATCCAATAATGTCTGTACTGATATTTTTTGCAGCCTATTAACAAATTAATTATAGTGGTGCATGATTTAGGTTTACACGTCTAAAATATATATACCAGATACATATACAATATATTTAAATGATTTTTATGCTTACTGAGGATATGTTATAGAAATACCAATTTTTGGATCCCGGACAGCGTTTAGAACTCTGAGTAATCTACAGAGATTTATATATTGTTCTGGATTACAGTTTGGCAAAAATGTTTTTCCAAATTGAGCAGCCTATTAAAATTTTAGTAACTTTTAAGTTTCATAAAGTTAAAGAATAATAATACATTCAACATAGCTCCTAAAACTTCCAAGCTGTGCTAATTAGGAATTTTAAAACTAACTTTCATCAATAACTTTTGTGTTGAAGTATCAATCTCATGTCCTGCAGCTTTGATACAATGGTCAACTGCAGTTTCCAACATTTGATTTACTAAATGTATATATTCATTAGCTCGGTGGTTTCTTCTCTGTGTATAATAAAAACATATTTTTTTAATATATATCAAAGGCATTTATTTATGTAAATTACCTCAAATTGCTTAGAAGCCTCAACTAAATAAGAACTAGGACTAGTACTATTAATACGAAAAATTTCTTGTACATAATGAGGTACTAATTGCAACATATCATTTGAAAACGCTCCTATTACTCGAACACAGTCAATTTCTGATACTAAACAAATAGGGTCGGTATATATAAAAGATACTTGATCCTCAATTTTACCAATAATCATCACTGTTTCTTCCGATCTAAAATATAATGCAACTCCTTCTGTTCCACACCTGTTTAAAATGTAATAACTACATTATTAGACTACTTAATACATTGAATATTGATAAACATAAATACCAAGCCATTTGATCAATGGAACTAGAAAAGGATTTTCTATAAATTCTATAAACTTTTCGTAAATCTGAAGATCCGATCCAAATTATATTATCATTATTTAATAGAGCAATATATTTGTGATCAGCTGAAATAGAGATTTTCTTTATTGAATTTGTAAGACTTGTATCATTGTTATAATCTGTGTCATTAAATCCAATAAACTGAAAATTGAAATCAAAATGTTATGTATATTTACTTATTTTTTTAAGCGCATTAACATACTTGTTGTTTACATTCAGCATGAGAAACAGAATACAAAGAGTGATTTGTTGAAATCAATACATTTGTTTGTCTTTCTAATAATACTATTTCCCATAAATTTGGCAAACTATTCATATCTGTAAGGATAAAAATAACAACAATTTAAAAAAATTATTTTTAATTTTTAGTTGGATAATTTTATTTAATAAAAATAAACTTTAACAAATCTTATGTTTATGATTATTGAAGTGATGAAAATATTGGTAAAATATTCTGTTACTGTTATTGTATGATTTGTTAATATAAAGTATTGTTATTATTTATTACCCCCTTCAGATACTTCATAGTAAAGACAGAAGTATTTTTTAAAAATGGGTTCAACAAATACTATACTTCATTCACATTTAGAAAGAACCACAGCGTTCAGCTTATGGCAAGTGATAGTTTTACTACACGGCAGGTATATACATGGTTGAATAGGTGGTATTAACAAACAGGTTTTGCCAGTCCAAAATTCTGGAACTGCCGCCAATGAGGTTACTAATTAATTTGAATTCAGTAAAATAAAGGGTATAACATTTGATAATCAAATTTCATAAAAACTGCATATTAGAAAGAACATTCTTAAATCCAACTTCACAACTATAGACTATAAGCTGATGTATTGTGTAAAGAACAGTTTCACTATAGAAGGTAAAATATAAAAATATTTAATTCCTCCTTAAATATTTTTTATTAAACGCACATACCTGGAATATCTGGTAAAATGTGAACTTTTACTTTTGTAATATCATTCATAACATAAATATTGCAGGTCTCTGTTAATACTGCTACAATAGTTCTTGTAAAGTTACTTGTAATTCTTGCATCTAATAACTTAACACCTTGTCGGTCCTATGATAAAAATATAAAAAAGTAAAAGTAGGTTGATACACAGTCAATTTTAATATTGAAACAACCTTTATCATACTAAAAGTATGCTGATAGTTTCCAAACAAATCATAAATTAAGACCAAACCATCATCTTGGCAACATAATATTTCTTCATTGTTTGACCATCCTAAGTTGATTAAATGGCCTGAACTCCACTATAAAAATAATGATAGATTAAAATTCCTTTTTTTTATTTATGAATTATTAGAATAGCAGTATTTAACATTAAATTAAACTAATGTACAAGTCATAATATTCCTACAATAACATATATTTACAGACATCAATGATCTATGCTAAATTAATTTATTACAAAACACCTAACAAATTGAGTATATTATATATTTAAAAAGTATTAAATTCTACATAGTTAAGTGTTTATCTTCTCTATATACATTACAGATAGCTTATTAGCTTAATCATATTTTATAAACAAAAAATGTTTAATGTTAAGTATAACTAGGTAATTAGTAAATAATTATATATCTACCCAATAAAATAATACTCAAAATATTTTATAGAATACTCTACATTTTAAATACCTACTAACAATTAATAAAACTTTTAGAAAATTAATCTACGTCAGAATTTAAAATGAAATGTTTATAATATTGAAATGAATAGTACAAGTACCTAATACATGGACGGACGTAGTACATACCACAAAAGATGAAATAATTTTTCCAGATGATGTGTATACCGAAATTATTGGCTTTCCAACTGTTTTTACAGACACCAATTTTGTTCGATCACGTATGACAATCACTGGTCCTCCACAAGGTGCTGCAATTACAACAGATGTGCTAATATCTATTTCATTGCACCAATACATATCAGAATACATTTCAAGTTTCCTGGAAGTATAAAACAAATTTAGAAATAATTTACAATTTTACATAATATTTAAAATATAGGATGGATTATTTATTATTTTGTAATGATAATATTCTAATATTATTATAATAATATAAAAACAATATTTTTAGACAAACATTTGCTATCTGGGTAAAGTAGAAAAATCAAATATTCCTTATTTAAGCTGGATTTAAATCCTAAATATTTGTTTAAAATAAAATACAATTCAAATATGAAATAGAAAATAAAGACAGGTATCTTTTATGATGTCAGATAATAATCTACTTGGGTAAAAATATGTACCTAACAGTTTTTATAATACAACAAATTATAACTATAAATATTTATAATCGAATTATATTTTGGAATGATCAATGTAAAATTTAAAATACCAACATTCAAGATTTTCAAGAAGAAAATATTGATATGTCATATTATTATGTACCTAACAATATGTAGTTGTAGTTATGTACAAAGTACTAACTCATACCATAGTTTGAGTCCGATATGTAAATAATTGAAACACTCAAATATTTTACTGGAATTAGTGGTAGTGTCATAATTATATTAAAGACATTCAAATCAAAAAACATTTGTGCATAATATTCTTATACCTGAAGTAATTTTCAGTTCCATATGGAACCCATTCAGATGTAAGCAGTGACATATTTACAGATCAACAATCCAAATCAAATTCTACAACGTAGAATAGAATGAAGATGCTCAATTTTTTGATAATCAGATTATAATGATCATTTTAATTAAAAATTGTAGCTAGAATTTCAATTTTCAATATTTTTGGTTCAATGCTTCTTATCATTTTCGGACAAGTGCTTATCACTCATATCATAGTATAAGCCATTTTATCATGGTATAAACCACAGATAAAGATATCTTAATTCGTGGTATAAGCACGATGTTAATATTTTATTGTGCTGCTATCTAGTGAATATTTCGTTCACGGAGACGAAACTAAAAAAGGTGGGTAAGTGTATGTCGCTCTGCTGTACCGCCTGTACCAGTGGCGTACACACGGGGGGGGGGGGGTGTTCAAACTCCCCCCTTTAGTATTTTTTCAGTTTACGTAATAACGTAAAAATGTATAATAAAAATGATGACAATTTAAAAAAAAGGTGGGTAAGTGGGTGTCGCTCTGCTGTACAGTAGGTTACAAGTGGGTCACTGTATAATGGATTATATTAAATTTGAATTCAACGATATAATATCATTGTATAAGAAAAACGATTCTGAGCAGAGACGGTATGTCAGTCTAGGTATACGACATATTATATACCTATGGTACTAAACCAAAATTTGACCTATAATAGGTACCTACCTATAATAAATTCCAAATTAATCATATCACAATATCCATTAGGTACTTATAACGCGTTATACATAAAAAAAAAAGTGATACTATCATAGATATATAATAGTACACTTTAGAAGTTTCAAGTACCCACGAATAATATTATTCAATCACAACAAAATAACTAAAATAGTTATTCTAGGTTTTTTTAAATGTAATTTAGTCCAAATTTGAATTTAAAATGTCTGTAAAAAATAACTGTGTTCATATATTTTTTAGATTTTTTGGTTACAGTATGAACTATTTATGAGAACCTTTGTTTTAAATTTGCAATCCTTAGCTATAAAAACTGAACATTTTATAATTTATTAATTACAATGATTTATAATTTTCGAGATTTTGAAAAATTCTGTCAAAATTCGATGTTTAAATGCTTATAAAAAAAAATTGTGCCTATGTATTTTTAATATTTTTCAACTGATATTGTAACAATATATCAGGAGCCTTGTATTAAATTTTTACACTTTTTGGCCCAACAGATAAAACTTAATTGATATTTATAGAAAAAAAAACTAAAAAAATATAAAACTGAAAATGTCCGTAAACAGCTCAAAAAGAGTCAAAATATTTTATGGTGTATAGAAAATGCTAATTTAAACATTCAGTGAAATTTTCATGTATCTACAGTTGTTCGTTTTTGAATTGCAACAAAATAAGGAAATCGCTACATGAGAAATCGAGTGAATATCCAATGTTGTAAAAATTTGAATTTCAAATGCTCAGAAAAATTTAATTTGACTGTCCGGTAGAGATTTTTTTATTGATAAAGGTAGACAAACTTATGAGTAATCTTATATTACATTTTCAAATCTTAGATTTAAACAGAAAAATTTTTACGAATTCTTAACTCAAAATAATTTGCTAATTTTCGTGATTTTTCCATATTTTGTCAATTTTTGAACTTTAAATGCTTTTTTTTTTTTTTTTTTTTATTAAAAATATATTACAATCTGTTTACACATAAAACAATAAGTAACAATGATGATAGTGATTAAGAAGACATGAAACACATGAAGAGGAGACTGTCCAGTGACAGAACCTCAGAAATTTGAGTTAGGGCATTGAAATTTATTTTATTATTTTATTTTTAATTTTAGATTTAGATTAGAAGGTCTCTAGCCCAATTTCTTTTTAACCTTCGAGGAATATTAAGAGGTAGTGTGAGAGAAGACATGTTTTTGATAAAGGGGTTAGAATGGTTAATTAATTTGGAATGAAATTTTTTATAGTAGTTTTTAGCAAGTTCATTTACTGTTGGAAGTTTTAAGTCGTTTTGGAGAGCTGAATTTGTGATATACCATGGAGCACCGGTTAAGAGTCTTAATGAGATGGATTGAAAGGCTTGGATGGGACGGATGTTAGCAGGTTTCGCTGAGCCCCATATTTGAATACCATAGGTCCATATTGGTCTTATGATAGATTTGTAAATTAATATTTTATTTTTGATTTTAGAAGAGGTCGAAGTAAATGGAGGCGGGAGTTGAGTTGTTTACGTTTATTTTTTGTATGATTTGCCCAGGTTAGCCTTTTGTCTAGAGTGATACCTAGGTATTTAGTTGATTGATGAAGAGGAATTGGTTTGTTATTAAATTTGAGTGAGGGACATTCTTTTTTCTTAAGGGAAAAATTAACCTGAGCGGATTTATTGTCATTAATTTTAATTTTCCAGTTATTTGCCCAAGACTCAATTAAGTTTAAGTGCAATTGTAAGTTGTGTGAAGCAGTGTCTGAGTCATTATTTGAAGCAAATATTGCTGTGTCGTCAGCAAATGTGGCGAGGAGAGTTTGATTGGAAGTGGGCATATCAGAGGTATAGATATTATAAAGTAAAGGAGAGAGACTTTAAATGCTTATAAAAAAAAACTGTGACTAACGATTTTTAATATTTTTTATCTGCCTTTGAAACAATATACTAGGAGCCTTCTATTACATATATATATTATATTCCAAATTATCCTCCTAGATGGATTATTGGTTAAAACTTTATTGATCAGATCCTGCTTCGCCCTCCTAACATGCACAGCCCATTCTAATCTTATTTGTGATTATGCTATTTGTTAAATAATTTATTTAAGATTTGTGATTATACTATTTGTTAAAAATGTTTTTTTTCCTCTTATTATTACTAATGTTATAAATATATAATAATTTGTATATTTTTCTTTCCGTTTATTATACTCAAACTTATATACCCCCCAGAACAAGCTTATGCTTATAGGGGAGTTGCAAACTTGTGTTCTACATTTCTTTGCATATATTAGTGTAAATTTATGTTGTTTTTGCTAAAAATAAATTATTATTATTATTATTATTTAATAGTAATTCAGTAAGTGTTTATTCAGTAAGTACAATTACTCACAATTCGTTTGGAGCGATTTGGCCCTGGTGGGTAGTGGGAAGCTAACGCCTAGCAGTCTTTACTTGGAATATCGTAAAAACTTTAAACGTTAAAATATTAAAATAATAATTATTTTTTACATGGGATGGATTTCCATTAGTTATAATATTTCTACATTTTTCAGCAAGGATTTTAGGCGTTAAATATTAATGAGTAATCTGTATTATATTATTATATAATCATTAATCACTTATTAATTATTATCAAAGTTAATATATTTTATTCTAAAAAATAAATAATAAAATAAAAATGTATAATTTTTATATAAATATTAAATACAATTTAAAATACATTTTTCATATGTAAAGACTAGATTGAGTTTATAATAAAAGATAATCTTATTAACGAGTACTTTAAATATGTGAGTAATAGAAAAAATAAAAACTAATAAACTATCATATTATGGCGTATAAAAAAAAAAATATAATATATAAAAATATATTGATTCCTTATGGATTAAAGTCCTATACTATTAAATACTATACACAATGATTTTATATTTGAATAGTTTTACTAAGACTTAAACTCTTATTTAAATAAATAGATAATTTTTAGTAATTCATGAAATATCCAACGCAACGATACAAAAAAAATATACCTTACTAGAACCCTTATAAACCTAGTAGTTGAGATAGTATATTAAATTATAAATAAATAATTTGGTCATTAAACATTTTTTGAGAACTTCATTTAAAATCATAACAGAATTCATAGTTTGGTGGATCAGCAGGTACAGGAGGTGGATCTTGAGGAATATCTACACCAACTCCTTCAGCATCTAGAAGTCTAAGTTTTATCTCCATTGATAATAATGTTTCCAAATCATTCTCAGCTTCTTTACTTGTCATCTTATTTCCTAAATAATTTTTTCATTAATAATAAGTACAATTTACATACAAGCATTGTAGAACAAAATTTTCTCCTAGTCACAATACTTATTTTGTATAAATATATATTATCCTCTGAGTAAATAAAATAGACTATTCTTACATTTTATTTGTTGAATAGTGTTAATTTATCACTGTTGAAATAAAAACCATGTTATTACTGAAAACATAATATGTATAAGATAGGTATTACATCATTAAAATAATGTAGTATTTTCTAGTTGACAAATTTGGTACATGGTAGTACACACTTATTTCATGTATTTATGACAAATTTGTAATTTTAATATAAATCAATATAAAAGGTTAAACATTTGAAATTTTCATACTTTTTTACTCAGGAGGATCATATTCTAGGTTACATAGAAGGATAGAGGTCAATGATCTAAACTTTAATTGTATATATACATATATAACTGTATTTACCAAGTAATGCATTTATTCCATCAACCCAATAATCATAAACCATTTCATCCGGAGCAACAAAATAGAGAGGTGTCATTTCCACAGAATCCAAAGTCAATGAAAAAGCAAGTTGATGTGTGGATTTCCGGCCTCTATAAATATAAAATTATTAACTCAACTCAATTATATTTTATGTTTATAATTTTACTTGGCATCTTTCATATGAGGACAGTCTTTACCAGTAAGCAATGCTTTGATATCAACCACTCCCAACTTATTTGGAAGTTCTTCAATTGTAGGAACACTTTTATCATCACAATCACCATAGTGTAAAACTTTGTGGTTTTGTGATAATCTCACAAACCAAAACTTATCTTTAACTCTCTAAAAAAAAAATAATTAGTTTGTAAGTTTATGATTTATATTTATTGAACATTGTATGATTTGTTAACCTGTCCACGTTGTGAATATTTAGTAAATCGAGTCCCATCAACCATGTAGTTGAGGCGTTGTTTTTTAATAAGTTGTACAATCTCAGGTGTAACTAACTCTTTAAGTTGCACTATAGGACGAGCGTGGCTCTCCCATTGTTCTCTAGAAGTACGTTCTTGTTGCCATAGATTAGTTATTTCAGAATAAGTGAGAGTAGATAATTTTTGTCGTAGTTTTTCCAAATTGGCTGGTTGTGAGCCTAAAGCCCTAGTGATTTGTTCTCGTACAACACTTAATACCTAGAAAAAAATCAAAGCTTATAAGTTATAACCTAATATATATTTTTTTTTAAATATATAATAAAATTGCATAAAAATAAATAATATATATTAACAGTTTTTTTAATTTTACTTTGACAAAATCTTCCGTTGTTGCTCTCATTTCCTTCCATGTTTTATTTAGTAATACAATACAAACACAATATAATTCATGGAAAGGATGATCATGGCTAAAAAATATTTGATGATATGTAGTAGTTTGTTCACTGGGAAGTTCGCCAATTCTAAGTATGTTGCAAAGTAAGCGTACTAATTCGACAGATGATCGGCCAAAAGGGCATTCATGTTCATCCGCTCTACATGAATTTTCCAGAACAACCTAAAATTAATATAAAACAATCTGTTAAAATATTACTTTTTTTTGTGGCTTAGATAGTTTAGAATTCTTACTTTTGTATAAGCATCAACATGATTACGAGCAAAATATACCATACAATCTAAAGCCAACATTCCAGGTGGAGTCTCTGTAAAATCCAATGCAGGGTTTATGTCGTATTTAAAGCCCAGTTTTTTATAATCTTTGGTAAATGGACTAAGTTGTCGTCGACTAGCATCTCCACCACTAATTGTATCCAATTCAAATGCAATCTTACGCAATTCCTAAATTTAAAAATAAATTTAAATTAAAATATACTGTCAATGAACTTAATAAAAATAATGAATGGATGCTTACCTTAATTTTTTCGTGAGCATCTTGATCTTGTGGGTCCATTTTGGTATTCATTCTTTCTTCAAGCAGTCCAAAACATAATGTTTGCATAACATAAAGTTGGTGAGCCATTTCAGATCCAACTTCACCAGATGATGTTTGTATGATATTTTGTAGTATAACATTTCGGACTTGTTTAGTACATAAGGTACTAGCAATAATTTTTCTTTTAGCTGGATCAGCTTTCAAAAATAAAGCATTTATCAAAGAAAGTGCATTTTGTTGAATTATGGGGTTTTGATTTTCAAGACGTAGTACAAGGTTAGGGAATCCTACTTCTTTTTCTACTTGACCATACTTAGCAGAACTGTTTAGAACAATACTTTCTAATATGGATAGTGAAGATTGTACAACTTTTGCTTCCTGTGGCCTAGATGTTTGATTATTAACATAGCTGGCAACCATATTAATAAATGGAGTTTCTAAGATATCCCAAGATACAATTCCATGGTCCATTAACTCGACAAATGAAGCTAGCGCATTAGCTAACATTGCTCCTTGACATTTACCTAAAACGAAAAATGTATTGAAATATTTAAGTTCTTAACAGCAAACATAATATAATTATTAGTTATGTTATACCTCTTTCAATTAAGCTAATAATCAGAGCCAATCCTTGTTTATTAATGAATTCAAGAGCAAATGTTATATCAGTACTGCATTCTGCTAACTTTTGCAGGGCAGAAGTTCTCTCATTTTTGTCATCAGAACTTTCAGAATGAAGTGTCTGCAGTATGTCATATGCAATCTTTGAAGGAGAAAATGCAAGTCTCAATACAGAGCCATTTTTAATTTCATTCCTATTTTTTTCAGTGACATAGTTTTGGTTGGTTTTCTCGGAAAATTTCAATGCATATTGTTCAGGGTCAGTTAAGTCCCAACCACTACACAAGTCCTGGATTATGTTGGTTAGTGGTATCTTTTGATTGAATTCTTTAAGTTGTGGATTTTCAGATTCCATTTCAACCGCTATTTTCACAACATTTGCATCCAACGAAGGCATCTTTTCTGGTTTATTTAAACTCATGAAATATGCAGTTACAAAATTGGATAATCAATGCTGAAAAAAAAAATATACATATACATTCAATGAGTTCACCTCATCGTTGTGTAAGTCAAAAGGGTCCGACTATGAGATAAAACTAAGGGTTAATATACACCACTAGCTATTACCAGATAGGTCTAGTTGACTATTAAGAAAATAAATATTTAAAAATAATACCTAGCTAAGATATTGGACCGCAGTTACTTTTTTTGATACTTTAAATGTACCTATACTCTGTTCCAAAAGAGAACGGTCACTTTTCGAGCATACAACTTACGGCTACGGCAGTGCAAAGGCCCAACATCCCCCACCTTGCTAGTAGACGTTTCTCGAAGACGTTGACAATTGCCTGCTAGAAAGGGGGAGGGGAATTTTGGCCTTTGCACTGCCGCAGCCGTCAGTTGTTTGCGCGAAAAGTGACCGTTCTCTTTTGGAACAGAGTATATTAAGATTTAAGATGTATTTATAAATAAATAAATAAATAAATAAAACACCTTTAGAGTATCGCCACCGCCGATTCTTATGTCACCACAAAAATTGAAAAAAAAAACCAAATTCGTATAATGTACTTGAATTATTGATTCAAATTGGTAACTATTAAATTACTTTTTATCGGTCATAGTTTACACATTCAACAATATTCCGAAATTAGGCGTAAATAGTATAAATTTTAAATAACACGAACCAAATCTTAATTCTTAACCCGTGAGTAATATAATATGACAAATTGACAATAATGTATATTAATTAATAAATTAATCGGCTTACAATGTTGAGAATATAAATTATGATTAATAAAGATAAAAAAAATTAAGGCTATCTATTCTGTGAGCTCATATTTTTTATCGCTTTCTGATAAGGTGGTAACCGCTATACTGCATATTATATTGCCTAAGTATTTCTTATAAGGAGTTATAATAAGAATTTCTTTTCAAAAGATGTAATTTTCAACATGAATAAAATATAACACATATTTTAATAATTATAATTGTAAAACTAAATTATGTTTATATTATTATTAAATATTCATAATGCAATAGCAATAATTTAAAAACAAATTATTAAAACATCATATTTATGTTATTATTGCGTGATGCAATTACAGTATAATTTTATTATGTATTTATTTTATTTATGTATTAGCCATTACATAACAATAATATATTATATTGTCATACCTATTGTTCTATGATATTATTGTCTGTGGTCATATTATCACAGATCCTGTAGACAATATAATATCAGATTAGTCACAGATTTCAATTATATTCTCAGATTTAGATATTTGTGTGCAAAACCCAAGCCCCAATGTGCATTTAATCTATTTTCTATGATATAATACCTCCAAATATTGTTATTATCTATATAATATTAACAGATATATAAAAATGTATCATTAATGTATCATTTAATGTATCATATTTTGTGTAGTATAAAATGAGAATTTCAAAGTATTTGTATAAAATGATAATAGCATAGATAATAGGTATCTCGGCGGGTTTTGTAATCACTAATTTCTTAATATTCCATTCTAATTGATAGTTAGATATTACTTAAAATTTAAATGCTTTAAATGTAATTAATTATAATCAAGTCGTGTACTATTATAGTGTTCCAATGGCCAAGGCCAATATTAACTTACTCTGAAGTGCTGACACCATTTTCGCTCCAAAATTAATTTAATATATTTGATAATATCAGCTATATTACTATAATAATATTGTTGTTATAATATTAAATACGAACTACTAATCATTTTATAGAATAAGATATTTTGTTTAGTTTTTTTTAAAAATTTTACTCGTGACTAATTTGTTTACATAACTTTCTTCGTGTCATGTAATCACACTGCCAACTGTGTTATAGTTTAATATTTTTGATGACACCATTTTAAAACGTCTATTTATGTGCCAGTTGAAAAAAATGTACCAAAGAATGATTTTTATATCTTCTTCGCGCACACATCTGAAGACAAACATGATGTTATTAAACTCATCTGCCAACCGATTGCATTTGTCCCTGGGTAATGTCTCAAATTATTCTTCAAGAAAGAAGTACTATGATATTGTTATAGCTGGCGGCGGCATGGTGGGCTGTGCTATGGCATGCAAATTATGTAACTATTTCTTCAATCCTTCACAATGAAGTGCATTTTATCAATATTTAATTTAAAATACATTTTAGCTAAAGAAGCTGCGTTAAGTGGCATGTCTATTCTTCTATTAGAAGGAGGTCCAAATCGTAAAGAATATGATTTGTTCGCAAAGAAAAATACACTTGACAAGCCTTACAGTAATAGAGTCTCAGCTGTAAGCAAGTCAAGCGTTCAACTTTTACAGTCGATTGGAGCATGGCAAATTATTGAAGATTTAGGACGTAATAATGCAGTCAAAGAAATGCGAGTGAGTATTTTAAAAACAATCGAAAAAAGACATTTTCTATACTACTTGATTTACATTTTAGATTTGGAATTCTGGTGCAGGTAGAAGTGGTGGTATCAATAACGTATTAACATTTGATAATGATAACGATTTAGCATATATTGTTGAAAACGACACTATTCTTGGAGCCTTGTTCAAACAAATTAACGAAGAGCAAAATATTACTGTAAATTATGATACGCGAGTTAATCAATTTAATTTACCTGATTCCAATAGAGATTTGGCTACTGTTCAAGTGGCTAACGGAGAAATTTCCTTTGAAACTAGTCTCTTAGTGGGTGAAATATACTGGGAAATTAAACTTGAAAAAATGTAATAATAGTAAAATTAATTTGTAGATTGGCTCAGATGGATATGGTTCTAAAGTACGTTCAGCTATTAGTGGTCAGCAGTATATTGGTTGGGAATACAGTCAACGTGCAGTCGTGGCAACTTTACATATACAGTCTGATGAAGTAAAATTGTTTTATTTAATGAACTATATGAAGTTATTTACTGTCATTGTTATTAAATAAATTGTGTATTTCAGGATGATACTTATAAAGGACACGTTGCTTGGCAAAAATTTGCTCAGTTAGGTCCAGTGGCTCTATTACCCGTGAGTTACCAATCAAGTTTATTATAATTTATATCATTGACCATTTGATTATAAATTCTTATACCTATTTATTTTATAATTAATGTTATAACTAATAAGAATGATTTAAATATTTTAATACTTTGATTTGTACTATCAAAAAACAGTTGGATGATAAAACATGTTCGCTAGTATGGACTACAAGTTATGAAGAAGCAAATCGCTTAGCAGAGTTGAGTGACAATGAATTTATTGATGCTTTAAATGACAGTTTATCGGTACATTTTAAAATAGTTAAATGTATTACTATCAATTGTTTCATAAACTATTATATATGAATTAGGAAGAAAAAGAATCAAACAATACTAGCTTACTATTAGCAGACGATGCAGCTCACATATTGGCCAAAGTACTCAATAAATACTGCCAATCAAATGATGAAAATAAACAAAACAAAAAAATAAAATCTATTCCACCAATTGTCGTTGGTTTAATAAAAGATAGCAGAGCATCGTTCCCATTAGGCTTTGGACACGCGTGTCAATATGTTGGTCAGCGTGTTGCTTTAGTTGGGTAAATAATAGTTTAGTTTTTTTAAAAATAATTTTTTATGTATAATTTTAAATTTACTTACTCAATATTTACCTTAGAGATGCTGCACACAGAATACACCCTTTGGCTGGCCAAGGTGTTAATTTGGGCTTTAGTGATGTTACTGAATTAAGTAATCAACTTAACCAATCAGTATTAACAGGCGCTGATATTGGTTTGTTATACTCTATTTGTAGTATTTAGTTAGTACTATCTAAAAATACTGATTTTAAAATTTATATTATATTTTCCACTTAGGAGATCTGAATGCACTTTTAAATTATCAAACTGCAGCACAGCGTCGTAATGTACCTATTATGTTAGGTGTTGATGGCATTCAAAAAATGTATGGTAGTAAAAACAATTTAGTACCACCTGCTATTACAACATTAATACGTAATGTGGGACTTACAATTTGTCAATCTGCTTCCATAGTAAAAGTATGTATTTTCAAGATGAAACTAATGATAATCCATGTTAACATAATATATGTATAGTAATTATTTTTCTTGTTTTTATTTTCAAACAGAAACTGTTGAGTGACAAAGCATCTGGACTTCCTGTATAGCTTGTTTCAATGTTTTTTCTTAAATATTTTTTAAAAATTAAAATTGATTAAATTAATTTTATTAAATTATATAATAATAGTTTATTAGTATCTCAGTACTTTATAGAAAACTTTATAAAGAATAAAGTTGTGTTATTTACTTTTTTTTATATATAATTTTAGTTCTAGATAGACTTTTAAAGGTATGTATTGAACCTAAACTAACCTAAAGTGTGGTCCATTTAAATGAACCTTAAACCACCCCTACAGATGATTACTTTTGCGGCTGGATTAGCTCCATTCCCACCGCATTTCTCATTTTGTTGATGATTATCTACATTATTTCGTTGTTTGGAAAGTTAAAGTAGTTTAACGACATGTTCATGTCCAGTGGCGTAAATTGGGTCCAATTTCTGGTGGTGCAGAGGCATATTCTTAACCTATAATTTCCAACACAAAAATAATCTAACTTTCTAAGTAAAATCCTTCCTAACAAAAAAAAAACTATATATTTATCCATACATTTTGTCAACATTTGAACTTCAAATGCTTATAAAAAAAATTGTGGCTATGTATTTTTAATATTTTTCAACGCTATTGTAACAATATATCAGGAGCCTTCCATTAAATTTTCACGCTTTTTACCCAACAAATAAAATTTTATTGATATTTATAGAAAAAAAAACTAAAAAAATTAAAAAATGACAATGTCCAGAAACAGCTCAAAGAGAGTTAAAATATTTTCAAAACTTTGTGGTGTATAGAAAATTAAAATATAAATATATAAATTTTCATGTATTTACAGTTATTTGTTTGAATAAAAACAAATTAACAAAATCGCTACATGAGAAATCTAGTGAATATCCAATCTTGTAAAAATATGATTTTCAAATGCTCATAAAAATTTAATTTGATTTACTTGTGGACATTTTTTTTTTGATAAAGGCTTATACAAACTTATGAATAATCTTGTATTACATTTTAAAATCTTAGATATTTGAAAAGAAACATTTTTATGATTTTTTCAACTTAAATTATATTGTTAATTTTCGTGATTTTTCTGTATTTTGTCAAAATTTGAACTTTAAATGCTTATAAAAAAAACTGTGACTAAGGATTTTTAATAATTTTCTAATGTCATTGTAACAATATAGTTGGAGCCTTGTATTAAATTTCCAAGCTTTTTTACCCAACCAGTGAATATTTCAATTATATATGTTTATGTTCATTTGTTTGGTCAAAAACCAAAATCGATTTTGTCGAAAACCGATTTCGGGTAAAAATTCCTGTTTTTCCTTAATTTTTATGTTGTTTTTCCTGGCGCTTATGAAACCTGAAGAGAATTTTAGAATTTGATTCAATACGACGTCTAGCTGTCATCTGACATTTGATTTTTGAGAATTGAATGAACATTGATCCAGTGATAACACACTATTTTGGCGGTAGAATGTTTATAGCAATATAATTTTACCATATACGTCTATTCTGTGCACGATTAAAGATATAATATCTTTAATCGTGATTCTGTGGTACTGCCATAATAAAATACAAAATTCTGTGGATAGTGGTTACCATAGATAATAATCTAACTATTTATGGGGGTTGTACGATATTTTAGAATATAGATAGGGTAATAATTTAAATGATAATGTCTAATACATGCACTAAAATAACTATTTTGTACCTCTTTATTTATTATATATTTCAATGATTTTCTGGTGATGTAAAAACATACCTTTGCGGCTTTGCACCACCACATTTTAGATGTGGTGGTGCAAGTGCTGCATTTGCACCACCCAGTTTAGGCCACTGTTCATGTCCAATACTTATCGCAGTATCTTTTTTGGAGAATCCTATAAAATAAAATTGTACGTAGGTATTCTCTAAAGAGACTGCAGCTTACACCACCTGATTTTTAAATTATATGAAAAGTACAAAGGTATTCAGAGTACTCTCAGGTATAGCTGGTTAAATATACCTAATAGCTGGCCCATTAAAATTATTTAGGTATACAAAAAATGAAATAGAGTAAAATTAAAGAAAAACAAATTGGAAGGGACATGTTGGCGCCTGAAGCCAAACGGATTTAAATAAGCAAAAAAAAAAATGATACTGAACCACATAATAATCTGAAAGCTAAATACATCAGTACATTTTGACTACTATCACATATACTAGGTATTGTTTACATTAAAATAATTGAATAAATATGATCAGAAGTCTATTATTTTTATTATTTCTTTAATGCATTATAAATTGTAAATAAATGGATGAAATTTATTAAATATAAAAAAATTTAATTAAATACTCCTGCTCGGGTTAATGTATGTGATTGCAATTTATATTCATAAAATAATGTTTAATTTAAAATATTATTCAAAATAATTAGTTCATTAAAGAAGGATTATTCATAGGCCAGGGCACCAGGTTATCAATGATCAAAAGACTACAAAAATTAATCAACCAGAGATAAATTCATAAAAAAAAAATTGAAAGAGAGGTTCCCACACAGCAGGCAAATGCATTTTAGAAAACAAAAAAAAAGTTTAGAAAAAAATGTACAGTAGGAACACACTAAG